ATTGGAGAAGTGCTGATTATTTAAGAAATGTTATGTGAAACTTACATCTATTTTAAAGTTAATTAATATATAATTTATATAAAAAAAATCCCAAAATGAATCTCATTTAAGCATACTAACTCAATCATGGTTTCGATCTCCTCACTTATAGTAGCCATGTTCCGTCTATGTGAATGTAGTACTTTTTATAAATATTAAATTGTGAAGGCGTGATTTTTTATAAGCACTAAGTTATGAATCCGCGACTTTTTATAAGTATTAAGTTGAGAATGCATGATTTTTTTATAAGTTTTAATTGTGATTAAATGAATTTTTTTATAAGTTTTAACCAGTAAATGCATTAATTTTTATAAGTTTTAATGTGAATTTAGAATGTGCTTTTATCATACTAGTGTTTTCTCAAATAATATGAATTAACAATTTTTAAGTTGTGAATTGTGATGAGTGTCTGAAATGTTCTCTAATACAACCTCCAAAGCTCCAAACATCACCAGATGCACGTGAATGTATTTTATTAAACTATGAATTTGTGTAATAAACTGTGAACTAAATGTATTAGGTTATGAATTAAGTATATTAAGTTGTTAATTTTTTTTTACGAGTTTTGTGTTTGCTTATAAAATATGAGATTAAAGAAGCATTATACATAGATCTTATTTTCTCTAATTTTGAATAAAATATATAAAAATTAAACTGTGAATATTATATAAATTAAACTTTGAAATAAACACTAGCCTCAAATCTTAATGTATAAATGTAAGTTTTTAAATAGAAAATATTGATGTGAATGTATAATTTTTTTTGTATTAAATGTGAATTTAATATATTAAGCTGTTAATTTTGTGTATTAAACTGTGATTTCATTGTATTAAGTTGTGAATAAATTGTATTAAGTTGTAATTTGTTTTATGAATTTTATGTTAAAATATGAATATTTGTATTAATTTTCTTGTGAGTATTTTTGTGGCATAAATATGTAAGAAAGTATTATTTTTTATAGTTGTTGTATTAAACTCTAAATTAGTGAATTAATAGGTTTATTAAACTCTTAATATATTATTTATGTTGCCAACGCATGATTTTATATATAAATCTGGTTTGAAATGATTAATGGTTGCGACGTTGACATAAATGGCCAGTGCCAATGTGTGGTAGTTGGTGGTGTCGGTAGAGTTTGACATTTACTTCTCAAAATTAGTGAATTAATAATATTATGATTGTATTAAGTTGTGAATTTTATGTATTTAGTTGTGAATGGATTGTATAAAGTTTTGTATATTATATAAATTTTATGTTAAAATAGGAATTGATGTATGAATGAAAATATTATGCCCTAAAAATTAAAATTTTTGCCATTTTCCTACCAAAAAAGATGAAAAATCAAGATTTTAACATGTTTAATAAGTATTGTGTGTGTATATATATATATATATATATATATATATATATATATATATACTTATAAAATGGGGGTTCTTAGGTTCCTAATCTTTTTTTGTTTTCATTTGAACCACTCACTATATATATATATATATATATATATATATATATATATATATATATATATATATATTAAAACATATTAGTCATATCTTAAATTTTAAGATGTATAAGTTACAAAACTTTTTGTATAAATCCATTATGCATAAATAATTCATTAATACTTATCAAAAGCTTGAAGACTTGAATTAAGGAAAGTAATTAAAAATTTTAATTTGGAGCAAAATAAATTTTTTTTAAAATATTAAATTCATGTATATAAATTAATTTAAATTTCTTAAACTAAGCATTAATATTAATTAGATTACATCAATAATATAAGCAGACTATATAAACATAAGGTATAAACATAAATATTTTATTTAAAAGTGATAAAATTTTATTACATAATAAAAAATAATAAAATCTAATAATTATTTCCCCGTAAGAAACTATTCACAAAAAAAAAAAATTTATCGTCGTCGCTTTGTGCGGGCACACATCTAGTATATATATATATATATATATATATATATATATATATATATATATATATATATTGAATTTTAAGAGGTATAAGTTACAAAGTTCAGATGCGTGAGATCGAGGGACTCACCAACAGAGTCCGTAATATCCATACAGTGGCACGAAACGACAAATGGGTGTGTAATATTTCGAGCGACGGAATCTTCCACGTAAACGTCCTTAGAACACAGATTGATTGGAGGAATATGATGCCAGGTGAAATATCTATAAACTGGATTCATGACATCCCATTAAAGATCAACTGCTTCATGTGGAGGGCGAAGCTTGATCGGATCCCAACTGCATGTGCTTTAATGAAACGAGGTATACAGATTACATCGGACATATGTACCTACTGCGAGTCGGATATGGAAGATACGACTCATGTGTTATTTCGGTGCCCAGTGGCTTCGAAGGTCTGGGAATGGATATTCCTGTGGTGCAAAATTCCTCATATCCATTTTGGGAATGTAGCTGAATTGGTGAAGTTTGTAGCACAATGGGGAACATGCTTAAAGAAAAGAAGGACCTTAACTAGCATATGCTATGGGACGGCATGGATTATTTGGAAAGCGAGGTGCGATCGGATCTTTAAAAAAATAAGGACTTCGCCCTCTAAACTGACAGATATGGTGAAAGCCAATGTCTATACATGGATCAAGCACATGAGAGATAAATGCCAAATTAGATGGATAGATTGGTGTGTGAACCCTTTTATTTCTATGTAACTATTTCTCACTCAACCCCTGCTGTACTCTCACCCTCCTAGCAGCTTGTTAGGAGTTGGTATTGCTTTTTGATTTAATATAATTATTTGCCGTTTCCAAAAAAAAAAAACAAGTTACAAAGTTCTTAGTACAAATTAATTATGCATAAATATCATTAACACTTGCTAAAAGTTTGAAGAGTTGAATTAAGAAATGTTATTTAGAAATTTAATTTGAAGCAAAATGACAATTTTAAAATATTAAATTCATCTATATAAATTAATTTAAATTTCTTAAACTAGACACTGATATTAATTAATTTACATTAAATGTATACACAGACAATATGAATATAATGTCTAAATATAAATATTTTATTTAACGGTGATAATTTTTTTATTACATAATAACTAACAATAACATGTAATAATTATTTTTCATAAGAAAATTATTTGTCAAAAGAGTTATTTATCGTCGTCGTTTTGTGCGGATACATTTTTAGTATATATATATATATATATATATATATATATATATATATATATATATATATATATATATATATATATATATTTGCATTAAACTTAAACGACATGACATTATTGATGTATAACTTATACCGAGGATGTGATCTCATAAGAAAATTTTTGCATCTTATAAATTATTCTATATATATATATATATATATATATATATATATATTAAATCTAAAGGAAGTTAGCAATAGTAACTTTGATGTCTTTAGGTTTTTGCCACAAATGTTTAGTGAATTTGACACTTTTAGTCCTTAAAGTGAAAACTTTTACAATTTTGTGTTTTGATTAAGTTTTTGTGCTTTTAGGGTTTTGCCACAAGTCTTTAGTAACTTTGACACTTTTCGTCCTTGAAGTGAAAAGTTTTATATTTTGGTGTTTTTGCCACAAATCTTTAATGAAATTGACACATTTCGTCCTTATAGTCAAAACTTTTACATTTTGACATAAAAAACACCAAAAACCTCCTTTAGAATTTTGCCACCATATTTTCTCAACTTTGACAACTTTTACATTATTGCCACAACATTTTTGGATTTTCTCTACCAGTGTCCCTTCATTTGGTTGTCGTACACTTTGGACATCTAATTTTAGGAGTTGTCGACTTTCTCTCCTATTTGCGGTGATTTAAACTTTCAGCACGTGTTTTTTAAAGTTTGCCGATTTTCTCCATATTACCCCAAAAGCGGCGTAGCCGCGAGTTCTTTGCTAGTTATCATTAATTCCATTATTAATAATTATCATAATAATAATAGTATTTAAAAAAAAAAAAAAAAAAAAAAAAACGTTACGCGTGAATATTTGGATAACAAATACCAAAGTATATTGTCGTTTGCATGAACATCACATATCTCCCATATCCATGGGAACCAGCTGTATGAGATTGTACGTATCGAAAATCTCAACAAACCAATCAGTTCATCAACAGTTCCACACCATGCATACGTACATCCGAATCATAACTCAGCCTCAATTAATCCCAATACCCATTTCTCTCAATTTCGATAAAAAGACCTACCTACCCCTCCATCAAAAACACACTTACACCTACCCACTATGTGTATTCATTTACACATTATTTATAGTTTATACTTAATACATAATACAGTCTCATTACCCTTAAATATTTGGCCTACATGCATGCATACAGCTGTATCGACAATGAAGTTTAATAAAAGCCATTTGTTGTAATCACTAGCTATATAATTAAACAGTAGCCTTAATTCCTTTCCTACCCTTGACAGATGCCATAATTAAATACACATCGACAAAAAGCTCTTGTTTGGATATTATGGATATTATTCACTGAATTATCATTAATGTAACGTGCCTACCAAACAAGAAATTATTTATTCTTGCAATCCAAGCAACTTGAATCATATTTTATGGTCCACTCTTTAGAGTTTCAAATCATGGATATCTTTCGTTACGTATATAAGTAATTATATATATAAAATGTCGAGATTTGTATATATGCGTACCTAATGAAATAAATATGTTGTGTTTACTTTTTTAATGAAATGGAGATTATAAACAACCCACTTTAAGGGTAAAATTGGAAGGAAACCCTAAAAATGGAAAGACTTAAAATGGCGGAAGAGAAAAAAGTACACTTCCGAATGTGAACTGCCTCGTGATAAAAGCAATCCATAGATCTCGCTACAAGAATCACCCTTACTTTCATACACTATTTACAAACATTGCCATTGGCATTCATTTTCATTTTTCATTTTTCATTTTTTCAACCTATTGAAATCTACTCCGGTATAGCACTCAACATTGCTGAAAAGTTTCGTCTTCTTCCACTACCACCGCCGCCGCCGCCGCGTCTTACGCCACCCCTCCTGTTTCCTGTCTCTAAAACACCGGCATCCGCCACCCGACCCGAACTCTTGGTATGACACTTCTCCCCAGACGTAGTAAAAGACACGTTTTTCCGGCGACAACCACCCAATGCAGAGCTGGCTTTCACGGCCAATGCCGCCATTTCCTCCGGTTGAAGCGGGTGTCGCAACCGGCTCAACGGAAGCGCGAAATAAAGCTGACCAAGTTGAAGCTCGTCGTCGTCGCTAATGGCGGAAACCACATCATCAAATTCCATCTCGTCGGAGTTACAAATGAAGGTGGATGGATTCTTTTGTAGAACGTATGAGACTTTTACCGGGTACGAAAATTCCTGTAACCTGCCGTCGTGTGATATCAACTTCGCCGTCGCCACCGACGTCGATTCGTAAGAACTGCAAATACCCATGATGATGATTTGGAAGAAGAGGGAGGTGGATTGGGTGAGTGTAGTGGGATGAGAGGTATATATATAGGAGGGATAGGAGTAGCCACCTTGTGGAAGGGCAAAGTTGTAATTTCAGAGGTTGAATTTTATGAAGTTGATTATAAAGGGAGCATAGGTAGGACCTACGCAAGCTGTAAGATGTGGATGACAGCGGTGGAGGTGTGTCCTTAAACATAAGACCATGTTTTTTCAATAAATTACGAAATCAGGGACTGATATGTCGTTTTATGGATCTTCGTTTTTACTGTTCTATATGTCCTTGTGTTTTAATGCATGGTAAATTGTTCTGTTAATTCAGTAAAATTTGGAGAAAAAATTCTTATATTTTTTTGTTTTTATTTGAAAAATAAGTACAAAATATGAATTTAAAGATAAACAACCAATAAAGGGATAGTTTGTTGATTTTCTATTTCATATTAAACCTTTAGTTTTTTTTTTCTTAAACAAGCATTTTTTTCCAAGTTTGTCTCTTTTAACATGTTTATTTGTAATCTTTTGTATTTTAAAACAAAATTGGAAAACACTTTCAATTTTTATCTAAAAAACCTTTAAATTTAACAAAATTTTGGAATCTAATTTCAATTTTCATTATTCCTGGGTTATATACGTTTTCAATCCTAATCCTAAAAGTGATTTGATCTATAATAATGTTATTATATTTGATTAAGAATTAATTTTTTTTTCTATTTGAACCAACTTTTTGATTTTGCCTCATAATTCTTATGTTTTTCTTGTTAAAGCTTATAGTGTTGAAAATGGTTTCAATATTAAAATATATAAAAGACATTTGATTTCTTTGAAGCAAAGAGAGACTATCATATTTTATTCTTGTTAGCAAATATGCATGTTAAAATCTATTTGTAAAATGTTCCAATATTATAACATGTGAAAAAAATGGTCTAAGTTGACTTGATAGCTTAGATTGTTTTAAGAAACAAACTGAAAGTCAATTTTCGAATACACATATAGGTTTCGAATATAACCTAAGTTTTTATGTTTTCTCCATCAGAAACATTATCAAATCAGACAAGATAACACAATCTACAGCGTTGAACATCCTGTAAAACAGATTTTGATATGCATTTTATCAACAATAATCGAATATGATTTGTTCTTTTTGTTTTGAAAAAATAGAATGATTTTATGCTTTTTTAACACCATAAATATCATCAACTAAGAAAAAAAAATGAGAACTATAAGCCAAAATGAAAAGTTGGTTTATAAGAATATTTTTGTCAAATAAATATAATGACTTTTTTTTAAAAAAAATGAAGGGTTTTCATTAAAAAAAGTTGTTTAAAACTGGAAAACTGTCAATAAACCCGCTAAAACCAAATTGAAAAAAAAAAATTAAAAACATATTTTGAAAAAATTAAAACTTAAAACGAAAAAATCTCAATATATTGTATCGTTTTATGTTCTTAACCATTTAATCATTCATTTAACTGTTAGTGAGTTGCTTTGGAATGAATTGTTTTGAATTGGACTTTTTTTGACAAGATTAGAATGTATCCATATAAGTATTTATGACCTGATAATGTATTTTAACATGCAAATAATGTCTTAAATAACAAAATAAGATATCAATAGTTTTTTTTTTAAGAGAAAAAACCCACAGAATATAAGAATCTTTCTGGAAAAAAAAATTTGTTTTTGATTTTCATGTAAAAGCTAAAAACGTAAGGTCCTTCTTGAAATTTAATGAAATTGGTAAATTGCAATGGACCCACAATATAAATAAACTTTATATAAATCTTTTCGATTAAGAAATCCCTTTTAAAAGGGGGAATATAATACAAAAATGTTACTAAAAACTAAGGGCTCGAGGCAAAAGTGCACTTTCATCCCTTACAATTTTTAAAGTACACACAGAATTTGAAAACTTTTTATTTTCTTGTGGTTAATTTATTGAATGGAAATCGCCCCCATTATTTGGTGCAACTTTATATTGTTGGATCTTATAACTGGATCATTTTATTAGTACTTTAATTTCAAAGCTCCTACTTTTAGATTTGGACCACTGTGATTATTGTTTGTGGTTATTTAATTTTGATATTTTAACTATTTTTATGATTATTTTGATATGTTGTCGATTCTTAAAGTTATGATGCTGATTATTTGGTTTCGTAAAATATATATTCGTATTTTTAATCATTATAATATGAAGGGGACGAGAAAATAATATGGCTTAAACATGTGATTAATTGTATCTATGGATTTAGTGTTTATTTGAAGTCTTCATATTAATTCAGAAAACATGGGTGTTCTCGAAGCTTTTTGTTGAGAAAATATAATAAAAAAGTACAAAATAAAATTTTCAATTTTATGGTTGGAGTAGAACACCATATGTGTTCATGACATACCATTATATATCATTATTCCCGCTCATGTCATCGTTTGTTCTTAACATTTGATCATTAGTTTCTTGTTCATAACAAGTGGTCCGAGCTAGAGCTAAATGTAACTTTGTTAAAATGGATGTCTATTCCATTTTTAAAAGTAAAAATTTATTCTGAAAATTGGGGCGTACAAGTTGGTATCAGACCATGGTTTGTGGGATTTTGATGAACACTCATGATATTCCAAACTCAAATTATGAATATGAGAGTTTTTATAAACCTTTTTGGAAAAGATTCATTTCAAGAGAAGAAAAAAGAAGATGCGATGTGTACAGTTAATCAGAACTTGAAAAAAGTGATCTTCCAAAGTATTCGTACTTGTTTATATGTTGTATTTGAGTTGTTGTAATATGTGTTATAGGATGATGTGTATGCTATAAAGTTAGGCTAAGGATCTACTCAGGATTGCATGTTAGAGTGCCTGCTTAGGAGAGATGCCTTTTTGTGTGTGGTATATGATCTGTTAGAGATGAATGATAGTGTGTATGCTGGGGATCCTCTGGAATTGTGTGTTAGAAATGCATGATCCTTATGATGCTTTACTGCTTATTGGTTTCTGCTCGAATGTTGCTTGCTTTGTGCTAGGTGAAACCTATATTGATGTTAGTTAACTATTAAGTGAATACGTTAAGTTTCATGCCATGAAGATTAAATAGTTTTAGAATGTTTGATTTGGACCTTTTGCGCAGCTCTTGTTTTAGTCCAACCTTTGTACTGCAGGATATTTCAGTCGAATGATTGTTTAATCCTTGTTGCATGTAATTGTATTCATAAGATAGTTAGTTAACATTGGTAAAAATTTCTTTCGCAGCTGATAACAGGTTGTAGTGAGTATTCCTAGCGACCTTAGAAGAGTGATAGAGTGTGCTGGTGTGAGGACTTGGGTATGAAGAAATCTAAGGTGGGAATCTAGGCAGTTTGTGGTGGATTTGCTAAGCATATGGTTGTGCTGGTACACCTAACAGTGATGAAGTTCTTATAAAAGTGGTAAATTATTCTAGTATGTGCCTATGTGTGAGAAGAATCCTAGAGGGAGAGTCTAGGAAGAGCGGTAGTGTGTGCCTATGGGAGCATGGGTATCTGCGGTTAATAGTGGTCATCTGTAGTGACTTGGGAACTTTGAGACAATTCTTGGGACACGTACGGATAGGTATGGAAGGTAATATAGGCACGTACTAATGAAAACACAGGATCCGTACGAGGATCAGTAAGGGTTGAAAGGGTTTCTAAGGATCTAGTGGAGGGTAGATAGTGTGGTTTAGCACTAGCACTAATTGTAGTCGTCTCTGTCGCTGTCGGCCTGTCGGTGATGGGTTTTGCGCATTCTAACACTCCTAAGTGTACATGCAACCCTAAATACCTTGGATCTATGTTTTCTCTATTATACATGCAATTATGAACTTTCCAAGGTATTACCCTATCTAGCATACAATACTTGATACTTGGGTAATCAAATGGATAGAATACATACCTTTGTTTGATGCAGCTTGTCTCCATGAAGCTTGAGTGCCTAGTGCCCCAAGTGTGACACCTCAAATGGTTCACACAACACCAAATGCACATGGAATGACTTGAGAGAAATGGAACACTCCTTGAAATCGTCTAGCCCTCATATTCACATATTAGTGCACGATTTCTTGAGCCATGGGATTCTTTTATATGGTGGCTATTAGGGTTACACCATGTAACTCATAACTTTACCCATTCCTTATGCTCCATGGATTTTAACCTCCATGGAGTATCCATGGGTCACCCCATGGACTTAGTCCAACATAAAAAATCTTGGATCACAAGCCCACATATATAAGAATGAATGATTTACACAATCAACCCATATATTTAATTAGTCTCCTTTTGATCACTTAATTAATTCCAAATTAATTCTTGATCAATACTAATTAAATAACCTTATTAATATATTAGAACTTATAATATATTAACCAACCTTAAGTGTTATTTCTCTCATTATAGTCTATCCAAATGCATGATGCCATGCAACCCAAATGGACCATGCCGGGTCGGGTCAAGTCTTACCAATTATAGTTATGGACTTAGACATTAATCCAACAGTCTCCCACTTGGATAAGTCTAAAACTATTATTGCTTATGACTTCAGGAACCGATCAGCAATCGTAGCTCTCAAAAGCTTCTGTCGAACTCTGACCTTGTCGATGAACTCTGACCTTTGTCAATGACTTGTCCATTAGATAAGGGATCATATATTCCTCCATTCTAGATATCATATGGACTGAGACATGGATTATCAATCATTCTCTCTGTCCATTTGTTGTTTTTCCCGATTTCCGATTCATGATGACTGACTGATTGAACAAATCAAATCAGTCCTGGCTTGGCCAAGCACTCACATGTATCATCTTTAAATCATCGAGGGGCCCACATATATCGCTTTTATCCCGAAGGTAAAAGGAATGGATAAACTTCGACTCATATGGCTTGTTCTACTACTTCTTGAATCATACACAAAGGCACGTTTTATAACATCGAGTTACCGAATGCATTTTCGTGCAATCAATGTACAACCAACTCATAGTAACAACTCAT